CTTTGATAGCGACTGAGGTGAATACCGGAATTTCCGTTTTCCGAATTGAATATTGATTGGAGTGTCCGTAAATAAATGTTTGAATAATGCAGGCTATAATGCTTTTTTTCTTTACTTTTACTGGCCACCATTTTGTGGTCGCCATCTTGAATCTTAGGCCCAATCCGAGTAAGAGCCCCCTCTATATCCAGGCGAATTATCTCCAAATTTTGGGAAGGCGCTTATATTTTACGGTAGGTGCATAAGAATTTTTCAGTCAACATGTTTTCTCTAAAACCTACTCACCAAATTTGAGAATAATAAATACATTATCAAAAGACAGTAAAAAATTTAATAACCCTTAACAGACAATTTGCTAGGCCTGAATACTGCTTGGAGACACCCTCTATATATATTCAAATAAGAATTAAAAAAAAAAGTGTTGCATGATAGTGTGCAGATTCTAAGTACTCAGTTGACACACTGTTGCTGCTTGCTTTCAGAATAGTATCTGCAAGGCTCAGGGAAACAGCACATGAGTTCCAGACAACTGAGTCAAAGTTTGCAGCCTTGATTTCAAGCAAGATTACCACAAGAGACAGTTACTGAGGGCTAGTTAATGTTACACGTGATTCTAAGAAGTAGACCACAGACAAGAAGACGAACGCCTGTCTCAATGGTACTCTGAAATGGCGAGATGTAGAAGAGGCAATAATTGTTTGCCAGTGTGAGAAGGACATTATTGTGTTAATTAAAGAGACAAATTGTACAAAACAGGTTTAAGCGACAATTAGGATTGGCTCTGTAGGAAATTGTATGGTCAAACATCAATTGCACTGGACCTGGCGATGCAAAGGTTTTTACAAGTGATGGACTGAATCTGCCGAACTTCAGATTTGGCAAAGTTCGGCACATGCCGAACTTTTGAAGAAATGTTCGGCAAAAATTCGGCAAGCGTCTGCGCACGTCCGAGAACGCGATGGGGCCATGGATTGCAAATGGCTGCCGTGTGGTTGTGCGGTTGCCACTGTACTGTGTAGTGCTACCAGCGGTTAAGGCAGGGTGCGGAGTGGGCGACATGGTAACTGTGTTCAGCCTTTGTGAGTGTGGTTCTCTTTAATATTCTCTGCCTCAAGAACGGAAGATCGACCAGAAACCAAAAATTGACGCAAAAACGACCCAGTCCACTGCGCAACTGACAAATGATGTGGTACATTTGGGATAAAATGATTTTAATTTGATCTTTCCAGTGATGCAACGAGGTAGTTGCCGCTACAACTGACAAGTACTTTAAAGCACTCCTCGCCATTATAGCAATCCTGTTTTCGGCTGACAAGTAGTTTGTACCAAAACAAAATAATATTGCTTTTCAGTTAATGTTATTTCGCGGTTTCCATCTTTACCTGCACAAAACTAAACACACAACTATCATGCTCGACGTTGCACAACCGACATCCCTAAATCTTCCACATCTTCATAAATGTCCGGTGTGTCCAAACATCAGAAACCGGCATTTTAAAAGTGAAAAACGAGATGTTGCGAATATGGAATGCACTTTCATGCAAAGCTAAAGTGACTAAAATCGAAAAACATGCATATTTACAATAACATTGTTATCTCTTGGGATGAAGGCTCAGCAGCCGTTGCATTCATTTTCACGCACGAAGCGGTGACTCGCAGAGAAAGCGGAGAAAGTAAGAACACAGTGTTACCGCCTTTATTTCAACAATACACTTGCAGGCGTGCACTGATGAGGCCTCAAAACCGAAACTCGCATATCGTGACTGCGCTGACTGCGCCCCCTACTACCAAACCCCATTGTTACACCACTTCTGCAAAAAGTCAATTTAAAATTACCAGTAAACACACAAAAATGACACCGATACAATTATCTTGTAGAATATTAGCTTGTTTAGTAATAACTGTGTCAATATGTAGTAAAAAATCCTAAAAACTCCCTTTGCACGCAAAACGATATATCAACTTCTAGGTCTGGCAACAATGTATTTTTGCCGAATCTTTCGAAAAGTTCGGCAAAAATTCGGCATTGCTGAATCCTAAGATTCAGCGCCGAATTTTGGATTCGGCAAAAGTTTGGCCCATCACTAGTTTTTACTTTTGTAAGGGGTAGAACAGGGGAAAGAGAAGCATTGCTTAAAACCTCGTGGTTTGATTGACCTTGACACAGCACTTGTTAGAGAAGTTCAAATTTTGTACCATTGGCTCTATTATGAATGGTGTGGTGCTGGCCGTGTGCAGTGCCAGATTAAGTCTTTCAAAGGCCTGGTTCAAGAAAATTGAGGGCGGCCCCCTTCACTTTCTAGCTCGCCAATATCTTGCATTTATATCAGTGAAAAAAGTACCAATTATTCTTCATGTTTAATTTCTGCACATACCATTTATCTCAATGTTTACAAGATGATGCTAACATAAACATATATTTCTGTAAGACTTGCCTACTTTTCTATACCAAAATACTATCACAGATATACCAGAAGTTTTAATTACCCATTGCCTTCGGCGTGAGAAGCAGCAGATTTTTGATAGGCAATATAAGGACCAAATAGGCTCTCTCTACATGAAAGCCGCACAAAAATATATCTTGCTGAGCAGCATTTTCCTTAAGAGATATGCAATATACTTATGTTGTTTGCTAAGTTAAGTGCTTTTCCTTGTAATTATATTACAAGATAAATGTAAAAATCTTTTCGCGAGCCGGATGCAGCACGCAGGCCGCATGTTGTCCACCTCTGCTCTAAGCCCTTCCACACAATAGCTTAGCCCACAAGGTGATGCAGTGAAGTGCCCCTCATGAGAAGCACTTGGAGCACCATGCATGCAAATAAAGTGGGAACCATTTCAGCCCATGCGGCAAGCTCTGCCTTTTCATCGCAATCGTCATCATAAGACGGCAGTGTACTGTTGTCCCTAGAGTAACGGTTGCCATTATCATTTGGCAAGTGCTACCCAGGTTTTTGCTGGTCTCAGAAGAAAACAGCTGCAAATGAGAGGCAGCTTTCTGGAAACCAGCAAGACGGCATTGTGTAAAATTTAGATGTAAAGATACTAGGCTCTACAATTTTTTTTTTATTCTGGATGGATGAATTAGGTCAAAGCAATTGTTTTGAGCGATCACTTGAACTCTTTGAGCCCTTCCCACCAGTCTTCCAGCATTCATTAGATTGCTTCAACATTTTGGAGATCACTTATTCCTTCATTGAATCCTCCCATCCTGAGGCAAGCTTAGGTATGTGGCTTAGGTAGGCATAACACCCGCTAATTTAGCCACAAAATGAACTTCGAGAAAGCAGAATCTGAGTTAGCTTACATTTATGGTGCCAGTGCACAAAAGTAAACTTTACAATGGTCAGAGCCCTATTACGCCATTGTTGGGTCCACACGCACTGAAGTGACACTCGTGCGTCACACATATTTGCTTCACTTTGATCTTTACAAATGCCAATAAACTTGGAACCAGCTTGGTCCATTCCTCATAGAGGTGGCAAGCATTGCCATTCTTAACATAATGGCCATCATCCAACAGTGGCAGTTTACTGTTGTCCCTTGGAAAAGGTTACCATTCTCATGTGGTCAGTGCTACCTATAGATTTTGCTAGTCTCAGAGGAAAACAGCTGGAAATGGAAGGCAGCCTTCTGGCAACCAGACAGTTAGCGTTGCATGAAATTTGGATAGAAAGATTCCTGGCTCAACAATATTTTTTATCCTGGATGAATTGGGGCATGGCACTTTGATTTGAGCAAACCCTTGAGAAACTGCCTTCTTTAGCTTTTCCCACTATACTTCCAGCCTTCTCTTAGTTTGCTTAACCATTTGGAGATCCCCTGTTCCTTCATCAGCCCCTCCCATCCCAAAGCAATACAAAAGTCCACCTCTGTTTATGTATGTACCGGACTCTCCATACTTACATGCTCTGCTGTTACCTTTGCCTGTACCCAGAGTGTCTCCTCATATCTCTACCTATAACTCGTGGTCTTTAGTACCCCCGTCTTTACCTCAGACGATAGACAATTCCATTTCGATCTGATAAAAAGGTTCTCCTTTCTACATCTCAATTTTTACGCACGGTAGGCTGGTAATAGGAGTTTCTTTCGTGCTTTCTGTTATGGACCACAATGAACCACAAGTCTGGCTAATGCTTGAGTTTGGAAGCTTATTTGTTCACTTTCCAACAGATGGCAGCATTTAGGGTCTTTGTAGTTTGTTTTATATTTATCAAACTGCCGACCCTGACACCCCCCACATACACACACACACACACACAAAACCCGGAAAAAAATTAGATGTCAGCAACATGAAAAAAGGTGGCATGACCTCAATGCGCATGTTTTTAGCCGAAGAAGAAATACTCAAGGACTTTAGTTTGCAAGTGTTTGCAATCCCCCCTCTGACCACCTTAAACATTCTCTTTAAAACCATAATTTGCAAGAAAATTAAAAAAGCAATTGGCTTTTAGATGTTGCTCTCTGCCATCCTGAATCTGTTCAAGAGTATGACATGCTCAACACCTATTAAATGGATGCATCAGATGGCCAAGAATAGGAATGTTTTCTAATGTTTGCACAAATTATAGATTTTCACTAAAACGTTGTGGCATGCTTTGCGAATAAAAAAAATTAGGAAGCAATGGCTGACATTCTACACTGTTCATTGTTTACCAATGTTATCCTGGTACCTCGCAGAAAGCCCGCTTCCTCTATCTCATCTTCACCTTCCCGTATATGGGAACTCCAAATTTACCTTCCTCACACACTTTTCCCGCTGCCATGAGCTTCCCCTAAACTTCAATCCTAGTACTTGCTTCCCTCCCTGAGAAGCATAATCCATATCACTCTGCACATTTTTATCTGAGCGTCCCTGGTGGAGGATCTCCGAATCGGCACAAACTGGTAGGAATCTGTGGACAGCTGTACAAAAAGCGCTGCTTTGGGCTATGACCACCTGTAGTCTAGACACAGCCACTGTACTCTCGTTATGAAAGAGGTGGAAATGAAAAACTTACCAAGACATAAGGACTGGATCGGTTCCATTAGAATTGCTGGCTGTCATCAGGTTCGTAAGCATGGACGATCACGAAGGAGGCAGAGGACCACTTGAGATGACTGGGACCAAATGTAGAAAGCAATCGCCGTGATTAAGAACAAAGTAGGCACACCCTCCGAGCACATCAGGTTAGCCAGACAGCTATGAGGACAACACACAAGAGACATCCACAATTTTGCCATATTGAGATAACAGTGACAAATGGACGAGAAAACAGAATGCCGTGTGCCTAGCAATGGGTGGTTGTTTGTGTATGTTAACACAATCCGTTTTCTGGCTTTCTGTCGAATTGCCATTACAGTAAAATTCCTATCAGTTAAGGGGGAGACTGGCAAAAGATAAAATCTGAGATAATTATGCCATGGAAACGATTACTTGTCCCTATATATTTTCTAAATTTGTTTAGTAGAGAGTGCTCAATTTTTCTAGATAGATCAGACTGAACTTGGGATGATCAGATCCACCCATACAGGATGACCGCCATGTCCCTCTTTCCAAGAAATGTTTCGAGTGTCGCTTAATGCTTAACATTGCAAGATTCGCACACTGTGAAGTTTCAAAAATTCCTTTAAATTGGGTTGTTGAAAAAAATATTTTCGGGAACGAACTGGCAGTTAAGGCAAATATCAGAAATTACAAAAAACAAAAGAAAAAAAACACTACCGCAAAATATTGGCGAAGCATCCACCCCATTTTCACTGAAAATAGGGTTAATCTAGACATGGGCACTTGTCCAGTCCAATCGGGCGGTTAACATATAATTTGTAAACTTCCGAAGTTTGGAAAATGTTCTGTGGCGTCACGGCTGTCCTGAGCCGGTAGAAATATTATTATTATAATTAGTTGGCGCTGGAACGAAGTGGGCGCTTCTGCGGTATTTTTAATATTTACAAAATCAAATACTTAAATTGTACTAATTTGTTAATTTGTAAAAAATAAACACTGTTTCATTAGGAAGCTTGCTAAGACTTATCAAAAACCCTTAAATCAAATAACCTTGGGAAGAGTTAAAGCATCTGTGAAGCGTGAAAATGTGTTTGAAGTTTCCACTTAATTAGCGAATGGAAGGCTGGCGATGCAAAAACACTGATCATTTTGTTATCAACATTTTCACATTGCCAGCCTTCTTCCTGCTTCACGAGTGGGAACTTCAGCACATCCCCACGCTTCGCATATGCTTTGTCTTCCTATAATTGACTAATCTTTGAGTTTGTAACGACGCTCAGCAAGTTTCTAGTCAGGACCATTTGTTCATTTTCAATAATTCGTGGTTCTTTTCTGCAACCTTCGACGTCCCCCGTGGTCGGAAGTTTGTTCCCGAAAAGAGTTTATTTCTCGAACACCCTAGTAGTAGGAACTTTTGAAAGCGTTTGCAAAAACAGCTGGTATAGTCTGCAATGAAGTGACATCAACTTTGGAGGATGCCGCCTCCGCATCTTTGCACCTGGTCTTACGCGAGCAGGGCAGAAGGCAGATGTTGCAGTTCCCGAACGTATGGTCCAACAAGTGATAGATGAGTGTTTAAAAGAGCTACGAAGTTGAAATGAAAACTGCACAGAGCCTGATTGTTGCAGCTAATTATTGTGGCCTTACACATGGCTCGGACTAGACATCCTAGATTGGCTTTCTGTAAGGGAGCCTGAGTTGATTGTTCTCCCCTGGAACCAGGTCACTCGTCATAATCCAACTCGTCACCGGAAAACTTGTTACAACAGGTCACAGCGGCCTACTCGATCTAGGTCATGTTGTCATAGGAACACTTGGCACAGGCGGCCGCTCGTCACCGGAAGACTGTTCGCACTGATCTTTGTTTTGGAAGGAGCAGCACCAACCTTGCTTTATACAAAATAATCACAATGCTCGGAATTAGTGCTACAATGTTTTTACTAATCAGTGGAATTGTAATACAACTTGAAAATATGCTCATATTTGGTGAGACTACATTCATTAGAGTGTGAAACTAGTGAACACTCAACATATAGGACTTCAATGCTATCATACCAAAATTGTTTGTGCGATTGTACCAAGAAATTTTGTACACAGCTAGCGGAAAATGCAGTTCTGGAATTCCTTCAGTATGCAGGGATACAAGCTACTGTAAAGCCGTAATGCTTTATGACTTTGCAGTACTGCCCAAAATACTTATCTTGGTACCAAACAGACTACTCTACTAAGGTATATCGGAGCATAAAAAAGAGGAACGGAAAAATATACCCTTCTTTTTAAGGCTGGAGAGTGAAAGTGTGATCTTCGTTTACTTGTCATGTTTCTACTTCTCTCCTCATCTATTTTTGTCCGTCATTCTTTTTTCAATTAGGGAGAATTGAGGGACCTTCTGCATCAAATCCTACTTGATGCCAGATGTTTCTTCATATTTAAAATTGTTTCTGCAATCAGTCCACTTCGGAGTGTTGCAAAAAAATGTTGTTAACATAACCTGTACAAGATAAACAAAATTTCCTTGCATGATTTTTATAGTTAATGATTATTCATACCTGACGTCCTTTTAATTTTTGCATCCCAATTCTGAAAACTGCTAATATTATAATAATGTATTAAAAATAAAAATACCCACACGCTGTGCCTCCTGCTTTGAAAGTCAAAGGAGCGGGCAAGCTAGCAACTTAAAAGACACTTGCTGCACAAGGGTTCATGGAACAAGAGTTCTTTGCCAAAAGTGCATTATTAGCCAGTGACCTTTGTTTAGCAGCATATTAATAAATGTATGATCATTAGTACATGTATTTATTTTCTGCCTTATTTCGAGACGAAATATTTTCAGGAATATATGCCATAATTATCAAAGTTGTAACTAAATTGTGAAAGGTAAAGTGCCTTTCACAATTTAGTTGCAACTTTGATAATTATGGCATACATTTCCGAAAATATTTTGTCTCGAAATGAAGCAGAAAATAAATACATGTACTCACTCTTTCAGTTGGTGACTAATCCCATCACGAAACCAAGCACATTGATTTTTTAGCGGGGAAAGATAACTCACCACATACGAAAAATCAAGTCCTAGTATGAGGGCTGTATGTGCCATTACATTATAGAACCATGGTATCCCAGCTAATTTATTGCAGCAAATATGTTTTCTTTGAACTAGTGGGAAAGCTTTTTTCTAAGCATTCATAATTTCACCGATTCTTTAATAAAATAAAATAGGCAAGCAACGTTTTTTTCTTAACTACTGGATTATCGGCACTTAACTTTTTTAGAGCAGATGACCAAAAACATGTTTTTATAGATTTGAATCACAGTTCATTGTTAACACTAAATCACAAATTTGCTAGCATTTAATATGCTCAATGTCGCACCCCTACATTTGATACCTGCAGCCAGAATTAGTATGGAGACTGCGATAAAAAGTTGGCGATAATTGCTTGGCATCGAGAGCCCAAAACCAACGATGGATGGGCGTGCTTCTTCACGAAACAAAATTTGTTGAGAAAAAGTATACCTACTTGAAAGTTTCTTTGCGTGTCGTGCTGCATGGCTCATCTTCTAAATAGTACTTCGGCGAAATATTTCCTGCAAGTACATAATCAAGTGCGGCGTGGTCGTCAAAGTGATAATGAAAAGTATGAGCTCAAAGCACCAGCCGTACTCGTGAAAGCATGGCACCTGCATGCGTGAATAGTGACTTTCCTGCATAACTTTGAATTTCAAGATGGATGAACGAACAACTCTGTTCCCAATGAGCACATTCAGTAGTGGCTCCAGGAGTCAAGGAGTCAGCGCTCCTTCCACTAGACGGCGAAAACCGACTTCCGGAGATGGCGCATGAGAAGGGAAAGGGGCGCAACATGATGTAATTCCGGATCGCTGACAAAATTCCAACGCTAAAAGAGAAAAAAAATAATAAAATGGCAGGATAAGTTACGTTGGTTTTGTTGCGGGTGTGCAGTTTGATTGCTTTTGTTAGTGAAAAGTTCTCAAGGTAAGACGAATAACACGTTTGTATTTTTTTTCCAGGTAAGGCTCTTTTCGGAAAATGCATTGGACCGTATTTTGTTCGGTTTGAATATGCTAATAAACAACGTAGATGGTTTATTTGTAGCCTTGTCTTGATTGCCGTTGCATGGAAACTCGGTGAATATCGACGATAGTCCTTTCCACGCTGAACAGAGCAAGGCAGGCAGTGAACGCGACTTTGGTAGCCGGTCGGACACTCACGCAGAGCATGATCCCGATTAATGGTTTGTTGTCGTAGCTAAATCAGGGTGTACGTTGGCTGATGCTCGCTTCGGCCGACAAAACCTTGATCGCTGAGCGCGGCCGAACTTCCCGTGTATATACGAATACATTTTATAGGAAGTTTGTAATGAAGGGCAGAACAAAAGCATGGCCGTATCAAAGTATCGCGACCGGCGAAAGAGATTCACTGAGCTCCATATTTTGGGTGTGCTGACGACGTTTTTCTCGGTTTTTAAAACAGAAGCAGCCTTTGCACCGCCCCGCGAAGGGCTTGATGGCGTTGGATCGCTTCGAACAGCAGCGCTGATGGGTACAGTCACTCGCTTTTTCTTTAACGACCTTGTCAAGACTTCTTCAATAAAGGCGTCAAATAAAAGCGATCGTGCTCGGCATCGTCTGCTTCCATTTTATTCGGAGACCGTCTGGCAGGGGAGGAAGCGGAAATCGCACTAAAGCAGCTGAGGAGCCGCGTGACTCCATTCGGAGCTGAAGGGGCCGCTACTGAATGCGCTCATTGGAGCTTATGTACAAGCACCCTAACCCACACTAACATCATTCAGTGATGTGATTGGCCTAAGCCGTTGTGGAGCAGCAAAAGTGGCTTTTGGAGCAGATATTCTTAGAAAAATAAAAATATTTGTTTTAAGTGCTCGACAAATGAAGGGCACTTTGCTCGTTGCAATAAACACATTATGGTCAAGTTAGACTACCTCAGACTCTTTGAACATGTTAGCTGAAATGCCAATGACATGACACATTTTGCAATGCTTCAGTTAAATGATACATATATATGTACCCGCTATAGATAAATAAGAGCCAAACTGCACATATTATATTTATTTGAAAATGACCAGCTTAGTAGTAGAAAATATCAAAGCAAAAAGTTGACTGGTTATATAATTTAATAAAGGGAAGCAGTCTCTGACTGATAAACACATATTTAACTACTGCAGTGCAATGCGAAACTATACGCAAGAAAAAGGTCCAGTACGACTAGCGGGTGCTTTTCCTTTTGCTTTTCGAAACTTTCTGCAAGGCTGCTGCAAGCCTCGGTGTGCCTTCGGAAGCAATGAATGTACGCTTTCAATGTCTGCAAAGACACATTGAGATATCCCAGAAGTGTACAGTGCTGTAGGCATTGCCGAGCAATTCCAAAAAACTGCTTGCCATCGTTTTACTGGTTCCCGACGTGCCAGATTTTTGACAAAAGCAAGCAAATGCAAAGCAATGAATTGCAAGCGTCCCGGCTGGTACCTCTGTCGTGCAATCATGTTCGCATGCACATGAGGGCAACTTTGGCAGGTTGCAGTTGCACGCGCATCTAGGATGACCACCCGTCCCGCGACTCGCGGGACTGTCCTGCATTGAGGGCTCGTGTCCCGCGTCCCGCAAGAAGTTCTCAAATCTTCAAAATGTCCCGCATTTTATACTGTAACAAAATTCGCACTGCAACTCATGTTGTTGCCGAAAAACGGGGCACAGGGAAGTGCGGATGTCACTGGTTATCGTGTAAATCGCAATGGTACACCATTTTCTATCCGAGCATTGTGGGAAGCAACCGTCGTTATTGCAGGAGAACCAACGCGCATGCTCCGTTGTGCCTCTCCCCTTGGCAAAATATTTTAAGAATTGCTCACCAAAGGTTTCACTATAAAATATTGTAATTATTTTGAAATCACTGTGTCAACGCGAAAGGGCTGCTGTGGATTTTTGTTTTAGTGAAGGCAGCCATAAACGGCAAAAAAGCCTCCAACTCTCAACGGTCGAAAAAGAATATAATGTTAAAAATTTGTGTAGGACCATGTTGATAAAAGTGAGCGTTGACAAGAAACAATTGCCCAAAAAAGATTTACTGTTTCTTATTTCCATTTGATGCATTAAGTTCTGCTACAGTCGGTTTTTATATTTTCAACTTCGACACATTAATAACACATTTGGCATAGAAGATATATCACTGGGAGTGAAAATTAATCGAGCTTAATGGGCGCAATACAATTAGCAGGTGTATAAACAGCACAGGATATTAAATGTGTTAACAGAGCCTCGGTTCGTGGTGCATGTGTTAATGAATTTCCTTGACCCTCCCCCCTTGCGTGTCCAGCATTTCACTAGCAGGTAGGTGGTCACCCTATGCGCTTCGTTGTGCGAGTGGAGACTGCTGTTCTATCAAAACCAAAACCATGCCACTCCGCTCAGTCGCCAACTGGTTCCCAAAATTGTATGCAAAATGTAACGGTCCAGAATATGACAAAACACAGTCCAGTTCAGCGGCGCGTGCCTGCCAGGCCGGCAGGCGAGGTACAAGCTAAACACACAGAAACAAAGAACCTGAGCGCATCGATGAAAGACATTGCAAGTCCGGGTCAAAAAGTTCTTGGAGTGCTTCGTGCAACGAGTGAACTCAAGACAAACAAGCGCGCTGTGCGGGTTCAGCGTGCAGACATTGCCTTTTTTGCTTTAGCTCACTTCTCTTCACCTTTCTTTCGCGGCAAACTTATCACATACTAGGGTCCCTCTCAAAAAAAAGCCCATCGAGAGAAACCTAGGTAATCAATATTCCGACACAGCAGTCTTTGAAGAGTATATACTCAGATAAAAATTAAAAAGAAAATGCCTTGCGTGATAGTGTGCAGATTCTAAGTACTTTGACCCACACTTCATTTGGTCCAAATAAGTGCTACAGTAAAGGCTGAAGCGCATGTGAGCGATTTTGCAAGCGACAGAAAAGGCGACGGGAGTCGGTGAAGAGCAACGGAGATTTCTCACTGTCGCTTGCCGAATCGCTCGGTTTTCGGATTTTTAGGTTGTGTCTGCAGTGCCGTCCGAAAAAAAGCCGGACGACGCGTGTATCACAGGAGAGCTCGTTAAACCACCCCCCCGCCTGCATTCACGCCGCTTGGTGGCGACAGAATGCGGCTGCTAATTACAGAACTATTAACCCACTTGGCCCGGCCGTACACGCCACTTCGCAGCGTCCAGCCAGCAACAAAAGCCACGCTGTCCCCCATGCACCTCCGGAAAGGGAGTCCCATACCCTTTTGCTCTGCGAAGTTTCGTCAACAACCTTCGTTTTTTTGTTTATCAATGTTAATCGTAAAAAAAGAATGCAGTGTCTAGCGTTACGTCCGACAGAACCCGGGTTACGTCAAGGATTCGAGTAACGTCCAACGTAACTCAATATGAAAATTAAAGTTACGTACAAAACTTGAAATAAAAATTAAAGTCACGTTTGACGTAACTTTACCCCAACGTTTCGAGTTACGTCCGACGGAACTCTAAATAAAAAATGAAGTTACCCCCACCCGCTGCCCGTTTCGACCTGAATAAGTTTCGTACCGGCGCAGGCTGTGGTATTGGCAACGGTTCGTGTAATTACTACTGCGTGGTGCACGTTAAAGACCCCAGGTTAGCGATTGTACTGCAACGGCTAACTTTCTCATCTACAGCTAAGAGACAAGTCACCTGTGGAGTGTACTGGCATCAAAACGGTCCAAACATACGAGCAACACGGTTTTTCTAGATCATGGCACATATAGGGGTTTTAGACACTTTAGATGAGACGATGGGCCCTCAATCTGTCGTACAAACCACGAACCAACACTGATATCTCAGGCTCGCAGCATGCGTGCTGCGGTTTCCATTGTGTTAATGTTTTTCTTTTCTTTTTTGTGTCACCGCCGTTCACACTCTTGCGACTGAGTACGACCGAGAAAGACCAGACCGGTCTTTAAGCCTTTTGCGACTTCTTAAGACCGGATGCGATGCAGCGGAGCTGGTCCTAAGAGATTGCAAGAGGCTTAAAAACCGGTCTGGTCTCTCTCGGTCGTATTCGGTCGCAAGAGTGTGAAAACTAATTTCATATAAAAAAAAAATCCTCTTAAAAAAATTGTTAAAAAAAGAGACAAAAAAAAAAAAAAAGAAAGCGTATGTGACGGGCATACGTAGCCTCTACATACGAGGAGCACACTCCAACCCCCTCAACAAACCTGGAGATATGGATAGAGCAGTGATTTTAACCAATTTTCGAATGCTGCATCGGACGTAATGCAGAAGCAATTTATAATATTTTTGTGTTTACGTCGTGTTTCGGGAACAAAGCGTAACATTCAATAAGGTTCCGTAAATTACCAGGCCGTAACTTATTTCCGTCGGACATAACTCAAAACCTTGAAGTAAAGTTACTACGCTACAGCTTCGAAAAACTCATTTTGACACTTCACTTTACACGAGACTTTCGGATGGCACTTGAAGGCGTGAGAGGAGTGCCGTCGGACGGCATCGCCTCGGTCGCTTTCTTGTGGTTTGCCTCGTCGCGCGACTGAGCGAGCGACAGCGAAGCGGGTCGCCGTCGCATGTCTCGTCGCTCGCCTAATCGCTTGCATGCGGTTTATACGTTAAAGGGACACTTCAACGAAATTTGAAACATTCCCGTCGTGTTCAAAAATAGGTTGAATATAATCCACAGTATCCGTAAATGACAATCGCACTTATGTATTTTGAGCCTGGTGGCTGTATTTTTCGTTATAAACGGCCCCCTCTGGCAAGTGTTCGGAGAAAGCCCAGCGGAGACCACGTGACATCCAACGCAATCGTGACGTAGGTCGTCTCAGGACGAGCAAAGCTACGGCGAGGCTGACGTCGAGAGGATGGCCTAGTCGTTCCAGCCACCGAAGTGGCTGCTTTTGTACGGAGTTTGAGTGATGGGTTAATCTTCTGTAATCTTGTAGGGGGACAACAGCGACTTCTGCGACACAGAAAAGGCATTCTCGGGAAGAGGGGAATTCCTCCTGCCCCTCTTCTCTCGTCGTGGCCGGAGGCGACACAACCTCCGTCACTAGCTGTCAAGGTTCCTAGACGGGCATTACAAGCGAGGCGTTAGCGACATCCACCAGGTGCTCTTTGCTAATCGTTTAATTCGTTTTAAAATTCCTTTGCGTGACTTTTTTAACAAGATATTGGTATGTTCGATGTGATGCTGCTCCTTTGAACACAAATAGACCAAAAAATGAGCGCCGAAATTTCGTTGTAGCATCCCTTTAAAAATGACACCACTTTGCTCAAGGTGATCCTGTCATGTGATGAGAGCCTTTCTTTGGAATTGGCAAAGGTGCTGGTGAGGATGAAATAACGGAGGTGAAAAGGATTATACTCACAAAGAGGAGGTTAGAAGATTGATGGAAGTCATGAAGGGAAAACTGAATGAAGTAAAACTAATTAACATAGCTGGGGACAGGCATACCAGAGCCTTGAAACGGCCGTCGATCCTTTGACACACGCGGTAGTTCCCCCATCTTCCCTTTGTCGAGATCGGCACTTACCGCTGGCTTGCACAGAGTCAAGACCAGTCCATCCGTATCGGCGCCCTCCTTTGCTCCTTGAAGTGCTTGAAATTTACCCCTGAAGAAAGATCTCAACAAACGAAGCTTTCCAGAGAGAGCCACCAACAGCGACCAGAAGCAACGCCAAAAATTGCAACACTGAGTCGGCCGTGAATACATTTATAAATATTTTCCGATTTTAGAATTTTTTTGTTCAAACAAATTTGTAAAATTTATTATGAATATTCTTAATTTATTTTTATTATGAATATTCTTAATTTATTATATTATCAATTGACCCCGTAAGTGATGACGTCACAACATGGCGTCTGGGTCCAAACAAACCGTTGCTAGGGACGTTGCTATGGACTAATGCATGGAGACTCCCCACGAGGCTAGATTTTCGCTTACAAGTAAGTAAATAATATTTTGTAAGCAACCTAACTTCTTGATATCTAATTATGAAGATCTTCTTGCCATCTCAGCGTCGCATTGCAACGCTGAAAGCAATTTCTGAAGTATTCCACTCCGCTTTGCTTTGGTAGCAGACGACACAAGCAACACGAGCAAGTGCATCGCCATGGCCGTAGAGGCCTCCGCGATGCGCGTCTTTTTTCTGTGTAGAACCTAGCTTAGTTCAGAGGGGCGAAAATTCCGTAAAATCAAACTACGTCCTGCAGATAACTTACGACGACGACCTTAGGTGCATTACTGGCGTAGTGCAGGCCAGCATGACAAACAAATCGTACGCCGTCGAGGTAAGTCGTTTGTTAACATTATTATTATTGAGGTTGTCAGGTTATTAAAAAATTGCATGTCTATCGAAATTTCGCATTTTTTTTATACATTAAATTTAGTGGATGTGCTCTTTCGGTGAATATCTCCATTGAACCCGCGTTGAGAGTACAATCTGTAATAAACTCACCTTATTTTTTTTTTATCCAGCTCTTTCGCTTTTTGGGGTTTTGCAGAAATCTGAAGAAACTGCAAGAATCTTTCTCCACGCGATGGTTACAACCAGGTACGAAGCACCCTCCAACAGCGCGAGTCCGCAAACAAAATTTGGGATCTCTACCGATCGCCTGAAGTGCTTTTCTCACGGGTGCATTGCGATCTTTTAGCAGACGACCATCTCGATCGACGCCCGGACTTTCGATAAACCATATTTCGTATCGCACCGTGCTATGAATTCTTATGTCTGAAACTCATTATATTTCAAACAAATGGAATATCTGGATTTTGTCTTTATTTACCCGATTCAGACGCCGGCGCCGGCATGGCCGGCGGGCGTGTGGCAGATGGCATTCTTGCATTCGTCGTCTGCTGCAGGCATCTTGAGAACCGGAAGTTGAAGTCGTAAATGTTTCAGAAAACAAGCGATTACCGGCACGCTTCTGTCGAAACATATATGACATTCAAGCTTTCTATATCTGATTTTTAGAAGTTTGAAACCTGCTCCCGATCTTTGAACGGTCGGGTTTTCGTAGCGAAACCTAGCCACATGTATTTGTCCATAGCAGCGACCCTAGCAACGGTTTGTTTGGACCCATGACGTCACACTTACGGAGTCAATTAGTTTCTGTCCGCTCTTAATTTCATTTCTTTCAAAACGGTGTTTCAGGCTCGTTCTAATCCAGAAACGAAACCGAACCTATTTTCTATATTATGGATTGACTTTTTTCCCCTGGGAACGGTACTGTAGGTGTTAATTTCAGTTTCTTTTCTACTTCAAAATGTGTCCCATGCAGTAGTTTTTCAGCTAAAGAAATGGTTCGCGGAGACTTTATTTTCTGATATACATGTCCGATCCAGACACTTCAAAATATTTTTCGGGAGTTTAATCTTTTCGACACCGACGAGATCCTCAGGATTGGACAACATCCATATTGTAACGGGTGGTGACCAAAAAGACGATAAATAAACAGGAAGAAATAAAGCTTTAATGAGGCGAACTTGAGCCAAAAATTAAAGGGTACAAAAGATAATTATAGAGCTTCGCGGGCGTCGAAGTCGGCGTGACAGCAGAGTCAGTGGCGTAACTAGAAGGGGCGGGGGGGGGGGGGGGGGGGGGGGATTACAAGTGCTTGGGGCGCCACTTGGGAGGGGGCGCCGAGCCGAGTCCACCCAACTTGTGCGCGATGGAAAAAAAAAAAAAAAATGGCAGCGGGGCTACGCGCTGCCATTTTGAGGGGCGCGAAATTTCATTTAAGACCATTCCATTTAGCGCTCTCTGGGCGGCACCATTTTGTTTGACCGCAGCGCCCTCTCCACACATCCGGGAAGTTCAGCGGGTTCGACGGGGTAAAACGAGAGAGAGGGCACGCGCCCGACTCCGCTAGCAGACGACAAACCGGGAAGTTGCCGTTCTCCATCTTTGGGCTGTATCGGCGGGCTCTACCGAACATCGAACTCTCGGTCGTGGCTGCCGTTGTGAAGTGATTCGCGTTCTTAGAATAGTTGTGGCTACTCCAAAATCAGCCTTTAGCTCTCTGTTGTTCTATTTCGGTAAATGATCAACTGGCTTATCTTATTTCCGTTACTTAAATAGCAGTTGAGTCAGCCGGCAGTACTACCCTCAACTACTGCTTGTATTGCGGCAGGAGAGCACGTTTTATTTATTATTTCAGACTTCCACTCATGGTCGCTAAAGGCCTACACCAGTACGAACGTTTGTATAGTAAAAAAGGTACAGCAACCGGATTTTCTTTTCGCCAAAGAGACCGGCCAATCTGACACAGTTTTCCCTATTTTTGTTTTTTATTTGCACGCAGGTAACACCGCAATTGGACCCTGTGAGTCTTTTTATCTAGAATAGTATTACACGACAACTGGCATACCAAAATCTGCGCATCTGCGCTTGAAAGTTCCAAAATGACGCGATTTTAAACAGAGTTTGCACGCCAACCGGACGCTAGCTACAGCCCACTCGGCGGAGCGGTCAACGTGCGGGGTGAGAGGGGGAGTGCATTCTTTTTCTCTTTTACCCTCTCTGCTATGACCCTAATGGAACGGTCTGAGCCATCTGAGCAGCGTCGAACGCTGGGGCGAAAACTGACTCCGCTCGCCTTGCGGAGTCCCTTATGTACCCTCGTGGGTTTCTGGATCATTCGGCGTAGAACTTTCGGTGCGCGGTCTACGAAAACTCCCTAATAGGGAGTTTTCGTAGACCGCGCTGCCCCCTCCGCTAAGCGTTCCGCAACGAAGAAGTTGCTACTGCGCCTGCGCGCCGATAGCCTTGACTGTGGAGTTCCCGCTATCGTAGCGGGTTGCGGAGGGCCTTGCGGGACGGCGAAAACGATCTACGAAAACTCCCTATTCACTGAGCCTGCAGGTTCGATTTTGCCAGGGAGCGCCACGGTCGATCCGCCATCTTCGAGGTCTCGGTTTGACTGGCTTGGGTACGCTACGCGATCGTCCGCTGCTACTGTGTGCTAATTTCCTATCGTTGAAGCTTCGTTGAACAGAAGAGAGAAGAAAAGTTAGTCTCGGGGGCGGGCCGTTTTCCTTGTTGCCGCCAAGTACCGTGTCTAAAGGCTGAACCGCATGTAAGCAATTTGGCGAGCGACGGGACGAGACGAGCGACAGCGACGAGACAAGCGACGACGACCCGCTTCGCTGTCGCTCGGTCACTCGCGCGACGTGGCAAACCGCATGAAAGCGACGGGAGCATGCGACCAAGGCGATAAGCGACCCTTTCTAGAAATCCAAAAGCCAAGCGACGCGACGACCGACCGCGAGAAATCTCCGTCGCTCGTCGCCGACCCCCGTCGCTGTCGCCATCGCTCGCTAAATCGCTTACATGCGGTTCACCCTTCACTGTCACTCGTCGCGTAGCTCGGTTTTGGGATTTCTAGAAAACTTAGCGCTCCTCGCCTTGGTCGTGTCCTCCCGTCGCTTTCATGCGGTTTGCCTCGTCGCGCGAGTGATCGAGCGGCAGCGAAGCGGGTCGCCGTCGCTTGTCTTCCCGCTCGCCAAATCGCTTACATGCGGTTTTTAAATCGCTTGGGCTAATGAAAATGCGCCGCATTTTTTATAAGCTGCGCACCCTGTGAGCCGCACGGTATGTTTCTGCACAGGAACGAGCACCGAAGGCACGACGTATGTACGACACAGCGGCGATGGAGCCACACGGTTACACGGCCGTAGTACAGAAAATCAGCTAGAGAAAAACATTAATGAAACTAGCAAAACAAAACAAAGAGTAATCACACCGTGCTGCAAAAGCACCAAAGTAGAAAAATTAGTTCTTGCAAGAGCTACCGCCGTCGGCACGGCGGGCGACACGGAGCGCTTCATGGAGCCGAGGGAACAACGCGGCCGCGGTAAACGAGTCCGATCGCGACAAAAACAAACTAAAACACACAAAAAATACTCCCACAACGCTTCAGAAGTACCAAAGTATAAGAATAACCCCTAGTTTCGATCAAAAAGACCCTTTAAAGTTGTAAAATACTGCTAAACCACGCTCAAAAGGTCCGGCCAGATGGCAATCGCGATAGCAAGAGACCTCGAAGATGGCGACCGCGGTGGGCGATGGCAGCGAACCTAGCGAGTGACGTCAAGTGAATGTCACCTATAGTATACACCTTCCGCGGGAAAGTCAAGCGTGGTAAGCCAACGGTAAGCACTGGGCCACGCACGAGCTTGCTCGTCGACGCGCGTGGCAATATCATCTGCAGTTTCTGTTGTTCAATGATGAGGCGCGACAAATCACCTGGACGGGCAGGTGACAACTTACCGCTATCGGTGTTCGACAATTAAATCCACATGCACTGGTGCGGAATTTGGCGAGAGGGCGTCGCATGGCCCCTTTTTCTTCAATGACAACGTAACATGGAAGCCCCTGATGCTGCAGCATATGAGTTCCTTCCCGAGTTGGAAATATACGTCACATGCAGCGGAACGTATATGCATCTTTATGCAGGATGATGCGCGACCCCACTGGTCGACGAGTGTAAGGCACTGGCTGGACAACACCTTCCCAGGATGC